ATGGAATATTATGCAGCCATCAAAAATGATGAGTTTGTGTCCTTTGTAGGGACATGGATGAACCTGGAAACCATCATTCTCAGCAAACTGACAGAAGAGCAGATCAAACACCGCATGTTCTCACTCATAGGTGGTGCTGAACAATGAGAACACATGGTCACAGGGAGGGGAGCATTACACACTGGGGTCAGTTGGGGGGAAATAGGGGAGGGACGGTGGGGGGTGGGGAGTTGGGGAGAGATAACAAGGGGAGAGATGCCAGATGTAGGTGATGGGGAGGAACGCAACAAATCACACTGCCACGTGTGTACCTATGCAACAATCTTGCATGTTCTTCACATGTACACCAAAACCTAAAATGCAATAAAATAAATGGGGAAAAAAAAATATTAGTATTAGTTGCATCAAAATTGGGTAGGGTGGAGCCTGACCAACATGGCAAAATCCCAACTCTACTGAAAACACAAACATTAGTCAGGCATGGTGGTGTGCACACCAGCAATCCCAGCTACTCTGGGGGCTGAGGCATGAGAACCGTTTGAACCCAGGAGACAGAGTGTGTAGTGAGCCGAGATCACAGCACCGAAGCCTGGGCAACAGAGCAAGAAGCTGTATCAAGAAAAAAAAAAAAACACTAGGGTGGGTTTGGCAGTCCTCTTCTTTGTACTGCCATGGTGTTATTTAATAATGTAACACACATGGAATGTGTCTCACTTTAACACATGGTGTCATTCAGTAACGACACCATTATCAAACACACACATTTAACACACTCACATTTAAATTGGAAAAACAACCAGTGATAACCCATCGCCCCTTTTCCTACCCTTTCTTGATGCAATGTAACTAACGAATCCTTTCAGGGACAACATGTGAGACATTCGCCAATAAAAAACAAAATGAATTCAGACATAAGCCCCTAGGGATAGCTACTTCTGTTAGTCCCAATCGTGATGTGAGAAGTATTTCATGTTTTTGTTCCTATGCACTTTTTTTTCTTTTGAGATGGAATATCACTGTGTCCCCCAGGCAGGAGTACAGTGGTGCTATCTTGGCTCACCGCAACCTCCGCCTTCTGGGTTCAAGTGATTCTCTGCCTCAGCCTCCCACGTAGCTGGGATTGTAGGCATGCACCACCACACTCAGCTCATTTTTGTGTTTTTAGTAGAGATGGGTTTTCACCATGTTGGCCAGGCTGGTCTCAAACTCCTAACCTCAGGTGATCCACCCACCTTCAGCCTCCCAAAGTGCTGGGATTACCACCACACCCAGCCCTGATGGACTTTTTGGTGTATCAGCAGGTGCACTGGAGGAGATGTACAAAGTTGGAGGTGCCACTTGGTGGGAACAATGGAAAATTACAGTGGAATTAATGAGAAATAAAGGCAGAAAATAGAGTTAAGCAGTCCTCTGAAGAGCTTTTAGAGTAGTCTGAATATTGTTCTAAATGGTTTTGTCCTTTATTGTAACTAACTACCCGTTCATTTTATTGATTACTATGCTTTTGAAATTTTGGGAAAAAAATAAAAACCAACAAAACCCTTTCAGTAGCAATGAGGTAGAAAAGTATATCAAGTGCATATTTAATAAAAGATTAAATACTAAATTTCTGCTTCTCAGGAAAGTTGATAACGAAAATATAACTTGAATAAAATGTTAGTTGACATTTACCATGGGGCTATAGTGATAATACCAACCA